TTGATTTCAACTAGAAACGGTTTGTTCTAAGTTCTTTATTCTAAAAAATTCCATGCATCTCATAATTTTTTCCTAGAAAAAAATTTGAGTTCTAAAGGTAATTTTTTCCAAAAAAACATTTTCTTAAACATTGTTTTTTCTACAAAGAAAAAATTTTTTTGCCCAATTATATATATTTTGTTCTCAGATATAAGAGTATATTTTTTTATAAAACTGGTAGACATTATTTTCTCAATAAATAGTTTTTTCGTAAAAAATCCTAAATTAAATTATCCCCAAAAAAAAATTTTTTTTTGTCAAAAATTACTTTTTATAATAAAAATAACTTTTGGGAATAAAAATTAAAATATTATTTTTAAGTATACCAATTTTGGAATTTCGAAAAAAAATCTTAAATTAATTTCTCTCAAAAGAGGAAAAATGAGGGGTTTGAGGAAAAAAAAAAATTTAGTATATAATTTTTGGGAATATTAAAAAATAATAATATTTTCCTTTTTTTGTTATTTATGGCCTTATAACAAATTTATTTACAAATTTACAAATTTAGTGAAAAGTTTTATGGAAAAACAACAATACCATGTGTAAATTATTAAAGTTGTTGAATTTAATAATATTTTCCGGAATAAATACTTTTTATTGGAAAACAATTTTCAATCTAAAAATCTTTTTTCTAACGTTTGGTAAATTCTTTTTTACTTCGAGGTTTTTTCTAAAAATTAATGGTTTTTTCTTAAACTATGTTTTTCCATAAAAATTATTTTTTCCCCAAAAAATCTTATAAAGCTATTTTCTGTAAAACCTTGAAATTTTGAAAAATATCATTCCAACTTTTATATAAAACGTTTTCTCTAACATTTTTAATATAAAGCAACATTCACATGAGGCGATTTTCCACGCGATTCAACATCGCTTTTAACAAAATCGCCTGTGTAAATTGTGTTTGAATTTTCTAAATCAAAATCGTTTTCAACTTTTCTCACCTCATGTAAATTCTGCTTAACGCACATTCTAAAAATATAATTCTTCTAAAATCTGACACGTTTTCCTTATTTATAAGTGGAATAACTTTTGAGGAAATATGTTTCCCTTGGTCCTGAATGGGTTAAATGAAGCTGGCGCATTTTAGGATCTTAAATTTGTTAAATCGAACTGGTTTATATAAGTATTTCGTAATTCAAGGAGATGTTGGTCATGTCTTGACTTTTTTTCACAGATCTGTATAAGGTGGTCGTGATTTTTTCGAAAGATCTCCAACTGAAAAGCCCATTTTTTACTGAGATAAGACCACGTTTCCTTACGTCGAAGTCACATGTTGTTTTTGCATTAACTGCATTTTTGAGTGCGTACAGATTTGAAGTGAGCTACACTGTACTTATTTTTTCAATCACAGATCATGCAATTTTCTTTCAAGTTTGTTGTTCTAAAGAATGTCAAAGACCAAAAATCTGGTTTGTAAATTTATTGCGATTAGTCCTCATTCACAGCTACTTTCACATAACAAATTTAACCGCTCCAGTCCTATGGAGAAGAAATTACGTTTGAGAAAAAAAGCTTTTGGTAAAAGCTTTGCAGCTACGCACTTTCAAAGTATTTATCTCAATATTGCGCCACTAAAAAGTATCTACTAAATAGAATAAAATGTGCTGGAATGAGAATTAGTGCTCAACAGTTTCATCAGCAAGAGAAAGCAATGATTCTCACTAGTTTCTCTCATTGTCTGCCTTCAAATCCACACGAAGTGGGTATGAGGTCAGGGAGGTTTATTTACATAAAGCCAGTTGCCTACAGGTGGCACTTGATGATTTTTTATTTACTTAGTTGAATTGACATGGAAATGTACACAAAGCATATTTACCCACTTGCTACATATTACATAAACGATAAACACACTGCCATCTAAGTATCTGTGTATGTACTTTTATACAAATAAGTACATAGAAATATAGTAGGGTATGTAAGTATTAGCTTTGCAAAAAATCGTACGCATTGAAAAAAAAACTCATCAATGCATTGGAAGGAGGAGGTGCAGACTAGTGCAGGCTATTACTTTGCTAATGTTTTGTGGAATATCTTGATACTATATTTGTAAGCGAGTTTATTTATTGTTTAATTTTTAAAGTAAATATTTAGCAGGTATCAATTAACACAAAGGTGTGTGTGAGATTTATGAATGATTACAAAACAAATCACGTAATTTCAGTTGCCATATACTACATTACCTGCGACGAATATGGCTTGCACTTGTCTTCGAACGTTCGTAGAAAAAAAGCAAAAACAAAAATTTGAATATATTTATGGCTCTACCTTTTAATTGTCAGAATAGGTATGTGTATTTAAGAAAAACCAACAGAGCAACTGGTAGCTCAGTTGCCTGCTAGTTGATTTTTAAAAAATCTTTAGACGCCTGCAGCAAAGATCTAAGACCTCTTCTTATTCCTCTTATTCTTCTTCCTCTTGATTGGTGCTGTAACCGCCTAAACGATTCTGGAGCACTCCAATAAAGTACGGCAGTTGAAAATGCAAGTGAAGCCAAGTCAATCTCCAATTCGTCGTAAGATCGCGAAGGAGGCCTACCCCTTTTCTGCTGCTACCAGCATAGCGACCCGCGTTGTATATTTTCAAAGTTGAGGTGTTTCTGTCCATTCGAATGACTTGTCTTTCGCAAGACAATTGTCAGTTCTGGCAACTATCTTGAAGGCGCTTTACTGTCTTTCGAAAGACTAATTGAAAGATCTGCTAACGAGGAGGTCATATCGTTAGGCTATTCGCCGTCTAGCAATCAGTCTTAAAAGCTAAATAAAATTAAAAAAAAATAAATAATAATTAAATTGAAAAAGGACAAAAAATTAAATTTAAAAAGATGAAATAAGATCAAAAAAATAAATTAAATAAAACAAATATATTTTTATTTTTAAAACAATAAAATGCAAAAATTTTAAGTTAATGAAACTTAAAAAACCAAATTGAATACAAAGAGAAGAAATAAACAAAGTCAGATTAAAAAAAAATTCTTTTTATAACCATAAATTCTAAAAATGAGAAGAAAATTAAAATACTAATAAAAAAGATAAAAATTAAAAAAAATAATTGGAAAAAGAAAAAGTATTATTCTTTTTAAAACAAAGGCGATCTAAAAATTAAGAGGGAATTAAATTAAGAATTAAAAAAGCATAAAGTAAGTTTTAAAAATTTAATAATTAAAGCAAAATTTAATAAACAAAAAATTTTATTAAAAATACAAAAAATCCGCTTCCCGAAGACTGTTGTTGTTTCTGTAGCGGCAAGGCTAGTGGCCTAAACACCCCGCCCTTTTCGGATCAAACTTCAATCATTGTCGTCAAGTTCAACTAACGGTAGGCCCAGAAAACGGACTGTTTCAATAGGGTCGGGCTAAAGGGAGAGGGGTGCTAGTTGAGTAGGATTGAGTTGGCATATAAAGAGGGTGGTTCGTGTCGTGCGGAGAGTCTCCGCATGCCGGACACTCATTGGGGATATTGGGGTCGAGTCTGGACAGATAGCTGTTGAGGCGACTGCAGTACTGCCCGAAGGCTCGATCCCGGTACTTTACTCACTCGGCCATTGCCACTGCTGAAACCACGCCGAACATAATGATATAGTACAAGTGCTCCCTCGCTTTTCACCTCGAGTGGTGAATGAGAGAGATTTTGTTCTGAGACTTTTGTGCTAGAATAAGAAAAGTCTTCGAACTATCTCGACATCTGTCTTTCATTTGTATTACGAAAGGCTTTTTACTTTTTTAGCCAGAATTGCCCTGTAAGAGTGCGGGTTTTGGGATAAGACTACACAGATTGTTATACTTTTGTTGGCATGATAACTCACAGCCCTCTTAATTTCACTTAGGTGATAGCGAAGGGAGCCGTGCCCCATCTAGTACCCTGTGTTATCAAAAGCCCCTGGTTATTTTTCGACCCCACAGCTTTCTGAATTTTTGAAATGAGGCTATGAATAGCAGTCTCCGTGCATTTACCTGGTTGATAGGCAAACTGGTTATTGTTCAGAGGCCGTTCCCGTTAGGAGAAAGTAATTGAGGCTAATTGGTCGGTACGATGACGGTACTTGTTCCGGATTACCCATTTTCGGTAGAAACACGACCTTAACCTCAGACCATCTGCTGGGGATGTAACCCAGCAAGAGCGAAGTGAGTTTAGAGAGGACGGAAGATATGTCTTGGCGATTTGTATGGACTAAATGTTGCTAAAGCCCATTGCACCTGTTCTAAAGCGTAGAGCTTCGTAGCAAGTAAAAGTATTTTCATAATAATAAACATTGAGATAAATAAGTCTTCAAAGACTTTTATTTTCAGACTTGTATTATAAAAGTCTTTTCCTAATAATTATGAGCGCGACAATTTTTTTTAAGTTTTAGAAGGCGGGACTTGTTCAGGAGCATTTCAGTTGGGGCTTGGTTTGGGACCCGTTCGGGACTATATACAAAATTGTTTCGCACTCATAATTATTATTAAAAGACTTTTATAATATAAGTCTTAAAATAAAAGTCTTTGGAAACTTCAAAATATTTATCTCAATGATAATTATTATGTCAAGACTTGTATAATATAAGTCTCAAAATAAAAGTCTTTGAAGACTTAAAAATATTTTTCTCGCTGATAAATAGTATGAAAAGACTTCTATTATATAAGTCTTAAAATAATTGTTATCGATGGCTTAAAAAAATTTTCTCACACATAATTATTATCAAGAGACTTTTAAAGTTCCTACGTAAATTTGGATGACTTTTTTAAAACTGCACCATGAAATAATTATTATTCTGGGTCTCTGCGAATCGCAAGCATTTAATTTGTTAGCTATTTGGCAACCCCTGCAGTCAGATAAGTAGATAAGAAAGTTATCAGAGGAGGCAAAGCTTTACTGAGAGCGACAAGTATCAGTGCGCTTTTTCTCGCTCTCTCTTTCATTAGAAAAAGCAAAATTTTCCAAACCCAAATTGATTACAGCGCAATCAGTACTAATTTACATGGATACGAGTGCGGACGAAACAAATAAAAGACGGTGGTCGGTACACAGTGCATCATAGGCTACATGTTGAAAAACAAAGCGTTAGCGAAAAAAGGCAACTAAATACTATTTCTTAATAAATAGTAGAGTAAAATTATAAAAAGGAACAACTTTAAAAGGATTAGAGTAAAAGGGAAATAGGTGAAAAACATTAAAAATACAGCAAAATATTTGTAGAGAGATTTGGTCACAGCACGCGGCATTGTTGAAGGTAAAAGCAATTGATAAAGCGGAAGAATAACAAAAAATAAGCACAAATTAAAGCAAATGAGTGGCAGAATAAAAAAGTGTGTGAATATACATATTTACATACTAGTACATACGAAAAGTAGTGAAGCGAAAAAGAGAGCTAATAAAGCAGAAAGCAACAAATTAAATAAATAAAAATGTGTGTGTATTGGGAAGGGTTGAGCAAAAAAAAAAAATAAAAACAACGAAATGAAAGGGGCTTGTCAATGTGACGGTTGATGTATAAAACAGCGGAAAAGCGACTGCTATTGCTTTTTTAGCAAAAAAAAAAACGACAAAAAACATAAAATAAAACATAGCATATGGATACCAGAAAATTTAATTTTAAAGCGCGTAAATCCAGCTAAAGCACGCTTTAAGGCGAAACAGCTGATTTTTGTTGCGCTTGAAAACAACAACTAACAGGGAAATCGAGCAAAATTCCTTGTCCTCGAAATGGAAAGTGAAATGTCAGTAAAAGTGAACGCTGCGGGAATACCACATACACACATATGTATGTACATATATACATACAATATGCGACGCCAGACGCTACAACTTAAATTTTATAGATTTCTGCAAAGTGTGTCCTTGTGCCTTGCGCCTTGCGGTGGGGGTGGCGCGCTGATGAATGTGGTGGCGGTGTTGGTAATGTTGAAGAGCCGTGGCGTTGTTTTCAATTGCAATGCTTGTTTTTGTTTGCGATTTCCTCTCCATTTCACAGCGGGTGGACATGCTTATACATAACATATATGAATGCATGCATGTATGTATGTATGAATATAGCATTCGTATGTAAATTCAGTAGCAGTGCGCTTGTAGCTACAACAAAGACAATGAGTGAGAAAAAAAAACTTTTTAAATGGGCATATGACAAATGCAGTCAAACATAGATATGTTTGTAAGCAAAATGCTTTCATATATTCATACGTATGTATGTAGATAAGTATATACATTAGGGCGGAATAATTTGTTCGGAGCAAAAGAAAGTGTATAGCAAATTCAAATTCTACGATTAATTCTAAGTAAAAATGGCGAACAAACTATATACAAAAACTGAAGAGAAATTTATATTTCCAGTTCGCCAGAGAAACGAAAAATTCATATAAAATGACGCACAATAAAGGGAAAGGAATTTACTTCTATCAAAATTTCTTAAATCAGTTTGCAGCTATGAAGAAAGATTTTTATTTCTTTAAGAAAATTTACAGCATAAGCAAAGTGCTCCTTCACGCAACAGAAATAACGTAAAATAAGTATTTATTGGGATATTTCTTGAGAGCTGGATTCTAAGCTTAACACCAAAAAAAATTTTGTACGAAATAAAGAAGTTTCTTAATTATGAAGAAAACGCAAAGTTTTGTAAGTGAAGGTTAATTTCGTTTAGAAGAAAGTATAATAAACTGATTTTTTTTTTTTAATGACGGTCAAACGTCATTTTTGGTGTAAAGTTTGTTCACCATTTTTACTTAGAATCGAACGTAGAATTAGTATATGCCATATACTTTTTTCGAAATTAAATTACTCCGCCCTAATGTACCTACATAGTATAAAAATTTTAAATAAATAGTACACATGTGCGATTTTGCAAAAGTACATTAGCTGTTATACTCAAGAGTAAAGTTGCACATCAAGCTAAGTGCATTTTTTGCTCACAGCGCGCTTAACTTAGAAGCGATATTACGAAAAAAAAGTAAACAACGAATCAAAAATAAATAAATGATAAAAAAAAATGTATATTCCGGGTGCTGGTGGCGATATGCGTCAATACACACATACATTTAGATTGTACCAGATAAAAAAAGGAAAAACACTTTTTTGCTACACGTAAGGGTCGTATTTTTTAATTTTATGTAGCATCTTCGGCATTTATAGTCGATAAAGTATGATACATCGATGTACTTGTCTCGAAGATAATTTTTTTTTGTGCCAAAGTCTACCTTCTGAGCCACTTAGCACACCAGCAAGACGGTTGGAACTTGATCAATTAGTTAGCGTTTTGGATGAGAGTTGCCAGACTGTTGGGTGGTGAGCTCGGAATTGTGGGGACACACGACTCGCAGGTCTGATAGGAAGGACACTCTACAGTGGGGTGTTCTCTCTGCGATCCTATGGGTAATGAAAGTGAACCAACTGCTACTGCGGATGGATACGGATGGATATGGGGTTGTCGGATATCACACAGGGAGAATTTCCTCAAACTTTTTGTGATCTTATAGATGTCGCTGCCAAGTTACTTGGAATAATTCTTAACAGCAAACTGCTCTGGAATAACAACAGAATATAACGCATCAGAAAAGCCGCTACAGCCCACTTCACATGTAAAAAGTAGATCGGTGTATCGTGGGGCTTATTACCAAAGATAAGGAAAGGAACTCTATACTGCCATTGTTAGCCCGATTCTGCTCTACGAAGCCCTAGTATGGTGGCCTACTCTTAGTAAGACAAAATCACTGAAGCTATTTCAGAGGAAACAAAGGAATGCGGAGCTGTGCATAAGTGGAGCTCTTTGCTGAACACATCCAGTGCCAGAGCTACAGCCATGTTTAAGATTTATCGTTACTTCTCCATAAAGAATAAACGCCACGGGGCACTTAAGCACACCGGATAAATTTATGCCTTGATCAGTGCCCTAAAATGCAAGCACTTCAGTACCCAATACCAGTGTGTAGTGGACACATTTACCATTGCAATGCAATTCCACATTGAACCATTGCTGGTTCTACCCGCATTTAGGTGGAAAGCAATAGACACCACGATACTCCCCGAAGGGGACGTACCCATGAACAGACCGGGGCAATGCTCGCCGGCGAGCTGGCTTGACACACACTAGCACGACATACACTACTACTTCACTCCACATTCATCTCCATTTCAACATGCATTGAAGTGTGCACCATCTTGCTCGTCTTGCTCGCCTGAGCACCCTCCTCTAACCAGGAGAGGGGACTCCACTCGCTCAACTTTCGCAACGGCTCGAGTTGCTCAACTTGCACACCACATTTTCCACCCTTTTTCAACATGTTCCCTCATTTTCCATCATTTTTCTAGTCGTGCTTGTCTTCCCAGTGCCTGTCTTGCCCGCCTTGCAAGCCTTTCTTGTGTCACTAGACTTGCTCGTCTCGCCGACGAACAAACTCCGGGGGCATCTGTTCTCCGAGGTACCAGTTTGAATTCTCTGGTAAGACTTTCGAAAGTCGTACACTTCTACCAGTTGAGCCTCCAACGACTCAGGACTGATAGACTTTGACCGAGGTCCCCGGCACACCCTACTAAGGATTACGTAGGTCAACAGTGGAATTCAGAGGTTAGAAACAGCTGGCGTTTTAGGGGCATTGAGATCCAGCCCGAAGGATGTTTAGAACGTCCTTCTTAATTTATAACAGATAGAAATCTTTATAGAAAACTCAGTGGCTAACAGCACTATCAGCCGCATCCTAGATGCATTACCACCTGAAGTTAAAGCGCTGCCCACTGACTATTTCCGGACGAAGACCTGGGTTTTCCACAAACCCCGCACGAAATTCCCAAGCCGCAGTGACTAGACTCAATGAAAGGTTCAGTTCTTGCAGGGCTTAATTGTCTTTACTAACGGGTCAAAGTTGGAATGTGGGGTTGGTGCAGGGGTTTTCATTGAGTAATATAAGCTAAAGTTATTCTTTCGTTTGCAATCAAGGAAGAAGTAAGATACATAAAAGAGAATGTACCCGCTAGAGCGCATGTGAACATCGTCTCTGTTGGATCTAAACTAGTTGATGACTGTAGGAGAGAGCTGGCCCATATTTTTGATCGATATAAAATTACTCGGATACGGATCCCGGACATAGGGACATTAACGGAAACGAGGCAGCGAACGAACTAGCACTGAATGTGTCGCACGCGGTGGACATGGAGGCCTCGCTTAGGGAGATCAAAGGAAAAATAACCGAAATTTATCACCCAAAGGCCACGCAGAGGTGGAACCGTACAGGATCGTATACGATTATCGGACAAATCTGGGTGACCTACGACCCACTTAAAACCAAAGAGAAATAGCAAAATAGGCAAAAAGGAGAAAAAAACTATTTAGGAAAATTGGGTTTTTTTTTAATTCCTCCCATTGAAAACTCTCAAAAATCTAATAATAATCTAATAACAGTTAGGTCTATAATTTTTCTTATCAAAACAATAGCAAAAGTGACGAATTTGCAATTAAATCGGAAAGTGACAAAATAAGGAAAGCACAGCATGCAAAATGGCTAGCATTATATCAATTTGAAATAAGTATACATATTTTTGCTGCAGAAAGTATCCTTGTAGCTGTGATTTCTTCATCCTCAAATGCAATTCATTCCAGGCCACGAAGCAAATTGGTGTGAATAAATTAATTCAAAGCACACAGAATGCATTTTCATTCTGCTTGATTTCATACAGAGCACAATCGTGGACAAATACTCATACGTATGTATGTATGTATGTATGTATGCACATATGCATGCAAAGAAATATATGTACTTACATATATGTATATATATATGTGTCCCTGTTGAATTGGTTTTGTGTTTATATGGAATTAATTGACACAAGGCAAGGATATGAAGTTAACCGTAAAAGTCAGTTTTAATGAGATGGGTAAGATGGTGACGTTTAAAAGCATCAATGGTGGTTGCTGACAAAATGTATGTCTGTGTCCGTACATATGACACACTTTTTTAAAAGAGCATTAAGTCAAAAATGTGTAAGTTTTTATATTGTACTAAGTATGGACACCGGTCTTTTTTAACTCCTGGATATCCCGGGATTAGTCGATTCGAATTCCGGGATCGCTGAAAACCAGTGCTTTAATGGCCAATCAAAATTTTCAAAGTTTTATCACAAATATCCTCTTTTCAAGAGCAAAAGAGTATCATTTGTAACATTGGTCGTGCAACACCGTTTTGATGACCGATGATTGTAGTGCTAAAATATTTCGTGGATTTTTCATAATTTTTTTGCTGATGGTGA